CCACCATCACCCCACCCCATCCCACCTTGCCCTGCCCATGTTTCAGCACCCTGCTCTGGAACATTCTCTCTCTTAGATGGATCCCTCCTCACTCTGCTCAGGCTCTAGTTCCATGCACTGTGCCCTGACAGCTGCCTGCTTCACATTGTCCAGGCTCTGACAACGTGGAATAGGCTGCGTCCTCTCTACTTCTCACCTCACCACACCCCCAGCCCTATTTTATATTTTATTTAGAGACAGGGTCTCACTGAGTTGCTTAGTCTGGCTTTGAACTTCTGATCCTCCTGTCAGGCATGGGCCTGGCATACATTTCCTTTTGATTCTGCTTAAAATGGCCTACAAACTGATGTTGGTCTCAATTTGTTGCAGCATTCTGATCTAAACTACACATTCTATCTAAGGTAGGCTGCTTGCTTTCAACCAATAGTATGTTCTGTTATTCAGGGCTCCACAGTCTTTTGAGAATAGATTTTGAAAAGGGATTGCTGCGACATTGTTTCTTTAATTAAATCAATTAATTATAGCATCAGAATTGTCAATATGGCACCCACTTAAGTGCAAATTCAGGTAACTTTGTAAAGTTTGCAAGGAATAGATCCCAGGGTTCTCAAGCTGAGCCACAAAAGCAAACTTTCTGGGGGTTGGGGGGTGTACAGAATGGGTTGTGTTGATTATTGATCTAGTTACCCATTTAATACAATTGTTTGGAAGAATAAAAGTGAATTGATGCTTCTGCAGGTTATAAATATCTACCTCATCTTATTCCAAGAGCACTAAAGAGAGTAAAAAATAGTACATGTGACAACAATATTTAAATACATGAGTTCTGAAGACAATGTTTTTTTCACTTACGGGTGAAGTTAAGAATAGTTAACTATTCTTGAAACTACAGAGAAAGACTTTTCTCCCCTCTAATCTCTGATGTAGTTTAGGAAAAGCACCGTAGACACTTGAAGCTGTGAAACAATGATTTTTATTATGAGACGATGGTCATTGTATTTAAGAAGGATTAACAGATGTGATGTAAAGTCTTTTTTGTGGCATATTATTTGTGATGTCTGGGGTCAAGTCACTGACTTTTTTGGTGACTATCAGTTTGTCTTTCCAGTGTAGATGACAGCTCTGGAAGATGTATTGAGTTTATTTACCTTGATTTTCAGCTATCCCTTTCCTCTAAGGATCTACTAGGAAAGCATGAACAGAGAGAACTCTTTGTGAAGTATCTTAAACTTTTGTCACAGTTTGTATTTTTACATGGAAAATACTTAACCCATAATGAACTAAACCACAACCTGAGGCATTCTGGTGGTGCCATATCATCTCTTCTACTTTTTGTGAGTGAAGGTATTTCAGGAGTCCTAAGTAAGACTAACTTATTTGTAAGTTTACTTAGTGACTGGCTAATTATCTTAATAGCTCTGAATCTCACTTCTTCTTCCTGGATTTTCATTTTATAGTGATGTGATCTTAAGCAAGTTACTTAAACTTTCAGTGTCTATTTTCCCAGCTATGTCATGAATATAAAGTTTTTATACAGATTAAATAAAACAATGTAGATATAGTGGTTCACAGTACCAAATATATTTAGCAAGTAATAAATGCTTGCTCTTCTTAGCTATTAGATTAAATTCAAGAATCTTACTTTATTTATTTATCTTTTTATTTTGTA